TTATTAATAAATATTAATTATTATAAACTAATTACAATTTTAAAAGTATCTCGCTTTATTGATTATTTTCCACTAAATTAATTTAAGTAAACTTATAAAAACTTAAATAAAAGAGAAAGTACTTACTTCATTTTTTTGACATTTCGTTACAGATTGCTGTAATTAAATTTAAAATTATCTTTTAATGTTAAAATAAAAAATGTGTTGTCTAAATTCGGCTAAACCCAAATGTTTATAGTTCTAGTACTAAAAAATTAGATAAATTCAACTTCATTAACAACTTTAACCAAAAGAATTTTAGAAATATCTCCTATTTATAAAAAAAGAATTTAATTAAAAACCACAAATTAAGTTATGCAACCATTTTGACGTTTCATTACTGGAACAAACGTGAAAGAACCACAAATTACGTTGTGAACCTAATTTAACATTTTTACAGCCTAATTAGAGCGAAAGAAATATTAAATTTCCTCAATAACAAAGTTAGAAAGCAAGAATCTTCATAGAAATCAAAATTAACAAAGTTTTAACTGTGGCGCCATCTCTGACTCATTAATCAGAATATAAGAAACGTCAAAATTTTGAGGTTACCAATAAATAAATATTAATTATTATAAACTTACTCATTAAACGAAGAAATTAATTGTTCTTATATATGTTATGGTTAAAAATATAAATAAATACCTGGAATTTAAAGTCCGATTAATTTCACTCCTTTTTAATTTCCTCTTTCTGCATTCACCCTTTAAGTAAACCAATCTGACCCTGGTAACATTAACCATAATTTAACGTTTTTACAACCTGATTTGATAGTATTAAACGTATTTAAACGATTATTTCTTCATTTATCGATTAAAAATCGCATCATTTAGTCTAATTANAATTCTCTCCGGCGCACCCAATAACCGGTCGCATTTATAACTTTGCGAGTTTGGTCACACGTGTGGCGCACCACAAAATTGCTCAGAATTACGTTTGAATTGAGATATACGTCTTCCTGTCTTTTAGAAATATTAGTACGGTCTCGCCATCGGGGTAAAGATAAATGCCGAAACTTTTTTGCGGTAACCCATCAATTCTCACCAACCTACAACGTCGTTTTCTATTTATTTCAGAACGTTTGAACGTACTCTACGAGAAAAACTGGACGAAATTGGTTACAGAGCAGCTAAAGCGATTTGAAAAGGTTGTCGTTGAATCGGGGAATTCCCCCGTTTCGAAACGGGTCGAGGATCATTGGACTTTTGGTGGGGCTCTTTTATACACATTAACTTTATTAACCACAGTGGGTAAGAACTTATTAATATTAATAAAGAAATTAATTTAAATTAATTAAAAAAAATTAATTATAGGATATGGAAAATTGTCCCCAAAAACGACTTTGGGGAAAATCATCGCGATGATCTACGCGCTAATAGGCGTCCCTTTAATGCTGGTTCTTTTATCGTTATTAGGCTCAATGTTAGCCAACGGTGCCAAAATAGCTTACTCAAAAATTAGATGTAAAGATAAAACCAATAAACAGGTTAATACAGTTGTGGGGTTTCATAAAGCGTCCTCAGGAAGTGGCAAAAATAAAAACGAAGATTGTTCAATTCAAATTTTACCCCACAACAATCAAAATAGTGTCAATTATAAGACGCAAGAGTATCACATAGATCATTTAGATGTTCCCAAAAAAGCAATCTTGGCCACCGTTAGAGCCAGCCATGCAAGAGGAAGATGTCGACAGGGTCAAGTAAGGCAAATGTTGGCTGACCCACATTTCTGTCCTTCAACGCATCACGGAACTACTTCCAGATCGATTACTGGCTCTCTTACTTCGGATGTAGAAGAAACCGAGGAAAATGAAGATAGTGAACATGGGTAAAAAATTAATTTGTTCAATAAAAATATACAACTAATCTTGCACTGAATAACAACTAAAGCTAGAGCTAACACTAAATCTAGAACTTGAATCATTCGTCTCTCAAGACGGTTAAACCCAAATGTGGCCAGTTTTAGGTCTAGTGTTAGTTCTAATGATATAAAACTAGAACTAACACTAAACCTAGAACTGAAAACATTCTGGTCTAGCAGTAAGTCTCTTAAGACGGCTCCAATACTCAACGGACCTAAATATCTTATCAACGAAGTGTGATTGTTACGCCATCTCTGACTTATTAATCACAATATAAGAAACGTCAAATTTTTAAGGTTATCTTTTTTCTTTAAAGGCATCTCGTAACCAAACCAACCTTTACATTACACACCAAAAATTACGCTACGAACCTAATTTAACGTTTTTACAGGCTAATATGTACGATATAAGTATTAAATTTCAATCAAAGTTTCTTATCAACGAAGTTTTGATTGTGGCGCCATCTCTGGTTTATTCATCACAATATAAGAAACGTCAAAACGTTGATGTTATCAATAAATAAATATTAATTATTACAAATTTACTCATTAAACAAAGAATTTAATTCTTTTTGTTTATTTCTTAATGAAAAATATAAATAAATACCTGTAATTTAAAGCGTAGCAACTCCAATCAATTTCGCCCCTTTTTAATTTTTCGTTTTTTGCGTTAACTCCTCAAGTAAACAAATCCGAACTTGAATAACATTCCAGAAATTACGCCACGACCCTAATTTAGCGTTTCAACAGCCTGATTTGATAGAAATAAGTATTAAATTTCTTTAATAAAAAAGTTTTATGGTTACCTGGGGATATTTTGGGTGGAAACTCACGAATAGGAGTTAAAGGAATTAGATGGGATGTACTTTTCTAATTTTAATGGACGAATTTCGTTATTTAAACGATTATTTCTTCTTTTATCGATTAAAAATCGCATCATTTACTCTAATTTTTCTAGGTTAACGTAGCAATGAATCTCCATGGAAACCAAAGTTTCCTGTAAACGAAGTTGGCGCCATCTATGATTTATTAATCGCAATATAAGGAACGTCAAAATTTTGAGGTTATTAATAAATAGTAATTATTACAAGTTTACTCATTAAACAAAGAATTTAATTCTTTTTGTTTATTTCTTAATGAAAAATATAAATAAATACCTGTAATTTAAGCGTAGCAAATCCAATCAATTTCGCCCCTTTTTAATTTCCGTTTTTTGCGTTAACTCCTCAAGTAAACAAATCCGAACTTGAATAACATTCCAGAAATTACGCCACGACCCTAATTTAGCGTTTTAACAGCCTGATTTGAT